TAGAATAGAATAGAATAGAATAGAATAGAATAGAATAGAATAGAATAGAATAGAATAGAATAACAGAGTTGGAAGGGACCTTGGAGGTCTTCTAGTCCAACCCCCTGCTTAGGCAGGAAACCCTAACCACTTCAGACAAATGGTTGTCCAACATCTTCTTAAAAATTCCCAGTGTTGGAGCATTCATCACTTCTGGAGGCAAGTTGTTCTATCTGTTAATTGTTCTCACTGTCAGGAAATTTCTCCTTGGTTCTAAGATGCTTCTCTCCTTGATTAGTTTCCACCCATTGCTTCTTGTCCTGCCCTCAGGAGCTTTGGAGAATAGCTTGACTCCCTCTTCTTTGTGGCAGCCCCTGAGGTATTGGAACACTGCTATCATGTCTCCCCTAGTCCTTCTTTTCATCAGACTAGACATACCCAGTTCCTGCATTGATGTCCAAAATCCTAGCCTTATTTCTTTGGTAGCTTCAGCACTCAGAAAGTTGTCTTCCGCCATTTTGCTTGGACCATTACCTCTTCTCCTGAAGTCTTATCAGGTCATCTGATGTTGCCTTCATGAACTGTCCTCACAGTCCACAACCCCCAATCCCCTTAAAATTTAGGAGTTGTCTCACCTGGGAAGATAAAGTGCCAGCAACCACATTGGGCATCTTATTATTATTATTTTTGACAATAACTTTCATGCCTCATTTGCCAGAAACGCTAATAGATCCTACTCAAAGCTCTCTGCATTCTTTCACATTTGTCATCACCAGCAAGGAGATGGTAATTAGGACCATTTCCTCTTTTCAACAGAATCCAGAGTGAAACAAAACCTCTTTTTAAGTATGTCTCTCTACTTCCCCCACCTCCCTACTTTCTCAGCTTGGCTGTCTAATATACCCCCTCCTCTTTTTTTGCTCCCCTGTTGTTTTTCCAGTGAATGTAGACTTGAAAATCTTTTCTATGCACTGCAGGGAATAATATGCTATTTGTTTCCAGGATGATGCTTATGTATTGGGCTCAAGTTGGCTCAAATGGATTTTAAGGTGGATTAGTGGCACAGGAGAGAATAAATTATTCTAAGTGGAGACCCCCTGGAAACAAAAGCCCTTCTTATCAACTTAGTGTCCCCCCCCTTTTTTTTTTCTTCTTATAGCCAGCAATGGCTGAACCTAGAAAGAGAGAAGGCCTTGGAGGCTTAGGTAGGTGTCTACCTATCTACAATTTAGCTTCCTCCACAGAATCCTCATTGTTTCTTCCATGGGTTATTATTTATTATTTAGCGTATGGTGGTGGTGCATGAGCCAGGAGACTACAGTGTTATTACGAAGTAGTTCTTTGGTTGCTGATGATTGCTGATCTGTTCAGTACATGCCCATGTACTATCCAGAGTGCACCACAGGGGGCGATCTAGCTCCGTACTCAGAAGACTTGACGGCATTCTGCAGTGTCATTTGGGGCTTTTTCCCACCACCAATGTCACCTTACATTCAGGCATCGCTTTCAGGCAGGTCCGGCACCGATTGAATTTGTACTGCTGCTTGAAGCATTGTTTTGTTCTCACCAAAGTGGTACCTATTTATCTACTTGCATTTGCATGCTTTCAAACTGCTAGATGGGCAGAAACTGAGACAAGTGATGGGAGCTTCATACAGTACTAGGACTCGAACTGCAGGAGCACAGTCCTTCTCTGGCACCTTTAAACCACTGAACCATTGTGTCTCTTTCTTTCACAGGCATTAACTAGGGACAGCATACTCCAGCAACATGCAAAGAGCCACAACAATACCACAATTAAAATATATGGATTTAGAAGTAGAATTCCTTTGCCAGGCATTGTCCCATTCTGTTTGACGTGTATCTTTGAGCCATGATAGATTCAACTCTCTTCCCATTTGTTCTCTCCTGCTTTTGATCTTTCCCTATTCCTCCCTCTCCTTCTTTCCTTCCTTCCTTCCTTCCTTCCTTCCTTCCTTCCTTCCTTCCTTCTCTTTCTCTCTCTTCCATTGCTTTCGACTTTTCTTCATCTATTGAAAACGAGTGACAGAAAATCACTTGATTGGAGTGTTCAGGGGGGTTCAAACAGTTAATTGATTTGGCTTGTTTATTTTAATCAATTAGTCAGCACAGAAAACCCAAGTATATGAAGTATAAAATATAAATGTATGGCATTCAGTCTGGATTCCTGAAAGACCAGTTACTTCCACTTGTTTCTGCCCACCAAGTACATTCCAGCATTGTGGGTGTATTCCAGGTTCTCTCCTTTTAAAATTGCCATCTTGTCTGACCAAGAAAATACTCCTTCTCTGTTGCATCTCCACTCTTCTGAAACAGCATCTTTTGAGAGATAAGGATGCTATTCCATCCTGTGGTGTTCTGAAAGCTTTGGAAACTGGTTCAAGGCAGTGGTGGGTTTCTACTACTTTGCACCGGTTTGAGCGAACCAGTAGCGGTAAATTGGCCTGGGTTGCCAAACCGGTAGCAACCACTGGCTGGCCATGGCCCCGAACCAGTCACCGCTCGCTTGCTCCGCCCACACGACTGCTGGGAAGTGGCTGGCGAAGAGGCAGCGGCTGGGAAGCTTCTCACAGTCGCATCAAAAAAGAAAAAGTGTCCCAGCCACCACAGGCCACCGAAAACTACTGGTGGTCACCGAAAAAACAGCTGCCATCACATCCCATTGCCTGCTGTGTTGCACTCGGACTGACACATCCCATTGCCTGCTGCATCAGTCCTACCATTTTCTGTGGGCGTGGCTAGGTGGGGGGGAGGTCATGTGGCTGAGTGGCCATGACCGTGACATCAAGTTGGCCACACCCACTCAGTCACATGATCACCAAGCCATGCTCACCAAGAAAGTCACGCCCACAGAACTGGTAGTAAATTTTTTTGAAACCCATCACTGGTCCAAAGCTTGCGGTTTATGCTTATTACTTTCTAGTAGCCCTCAACCTACGACCACAATGGAGCCCAAAATTCCTGTTGCCAAGTAAGACAGTTGTTCAGTGAGTTTTGCTCCCGTTTTATAACCTTTCTTGCCACGATTGTTGAGGGAATCACTGCAGTTGTTAAGTTAATGACATGGGTGTCAAGTGAATCTGATTTCCCCCATTAACTAGCAAAAGAGGATCATGTCACCCCAGGTCAGGGGTGAAATCCAGCAGGTTCTGACAGGTTCTGGAAAACCAGTAGCGGAAATTTTGAGTAGTTCAGAGAACCGGCAAATACCACCTCTGGCTGGCCCCGGGTGGGGTGGGAATGGAGATTTTGCAATATCCTTCCCCTGAAGTGGGGTTGGAATGGGGATTTTGCAGTATCCTTCCCCTGGAGTGGGGAGGGAATGGGGGTTTTGCAGAATCCTTCCCCTAGAGTGGGGATGGAATGGGGATTTTGCAGTATCCTTCCTCTGGAGTGGGGAGGGAATGTGGATTTTGCAGTATCCTTCCCCTGGAGTGGGGTGGGAATGGAGATTATGCAGCATCCTTCTCCTGCCCACCAAGCAACACCACGCCCACCAAGCCACGCCCACAGAACCGGTAGTAAAAAAAATTGGATTTCACCCACTGTAGTAGGCACTGATCAGAATGTGTGCAATACACATAGAGAGTTTTTAAAAAGAGGCAATGCTGCTGTTAGTAAGAAAATGGGAGACACTAATTTAAATAATCCCAATCTTGTTGGCTAGAAAGTTATCTTGGAGGCTATAAAAGTAATCTAACATTAATCACACTGAGAAATGACAGATTTGGCCCACAGACTGCCAGCTGCCAACTTTTCAAAAGACATTTTGCAAAACCTTAATAATAAAAAGAAAAGCACTATGGAAACATTAGCATACTGACTCAGTTCTGAAAGATATTTTCTCCAGTTGATCTGTCTATTAATACAGAAGGAGGCAGAAGTTGCCAGAATGTCAAAAGAATTTCAACTAAGGACTATAACATAAGAAATATAAATGGGTAACAAACAGCACGGACGGTGCAATTCTTTTCCAAGTGCAGACAGACTTAATTCTGAATTTCTTCAGGAAACTCAGGTTCTGAAACTTTGGCCCTCTTTTGTTAATCTGACACATGGTTTTATTTGTTAGCTTTCCAGTGGGTCTGAAGTTTGCCTTCTTTCCTCAAAGTTATCTTGTTCAAAGCCTTTAGCAGCTCCAAATTCTAAAGCTGGAATCCTGATTTATGTCTTACATGCACCCGTCTAGCCAGATCCTAATGATTCCCTTTCATGACCCCAATCACTTGTCAGGCTAGCTTCGGATTTGAAACTCACATAAATGTATCATTTCTACATTCATCTGTAATAGTCAGCATAAGTAAGCTAAAGAAATCCCTCTATTTCCCTTCTAGTTTCCTTCCTTCCTTCCTTCCTTCCTTCCTTCCTTCCTTCCTTCCATCCATCCATCCATCCATCCTTCCACCTGCTAGAAACATTAAACACAATAAGCAAGACAGTAAATACGGTTTCCAGCATCAAGAACAGGTGGTGCTAATGACTGCTAAAACATCCCTGAAGAGCAAGACTAAGAGCCCATCATAAATTATGGAACAGTTTTGATATGAAGAAGGAAGAGCCAATGCAGTCTTGTGTTGGAGGAAAAACATGGGAGAAGAATTATTTCAACAACCGCAGCATCCAAAAAAAAAAAAAAATCATTGAGTGAACTGGAATGCCTTGCAAATTGATAGCAATAGCACTTATATACCACTTCACACTGTTTTACAGCCCTCTCTAAGTGGTTTACAAAATCAGCACATTTCCCCCCAAAATCTGGGTCCTCATTTTATTGACTTTGGAAGGCTGGAAGGCTGAATCAACTTTGAGCTGGTCAGGATCGAACTGCTGGCAGTGGGCAGAGTTAGCCTGCAATACCACATTCTAACCACTGTGCCACCATGCCTCTTGATGCTCTACCTTTCTCCACCCTTTGTGGAGGATTTAAGATAATTGCTTATTTGTTAGTCACCATACTCCTGTTTGGACTTATAATACAGGACTGTCATCTGTTCCTACAGGTCTATTGCAAACAACTAACCTGGAGGTTTTAAAACTGGTAAAGGCTTGATTCTCTCAACCACTCTTGGACTGATGGGCAAAGGATATAGCAAGGAAGAGTTCACATGAAGCACACCTTTGTGATTAGATTGCAATGATTAGGAATTACAATAAGAGCAATCACGCCCAACAAGAAAACAGTCTCCATCAACAGGTGATAGCTGATTTGGTGATGCAACTCAGTTCTTACAAGAACCTCCGACTTAAGGTTGCTTCCTGCTCTGATCAATTTGAATGACTGGTTCTGTTAAATACAGATGGTCATTCTTTCCTCTCAAGTAAAACAAGTTGAGTCTGCTGGGAACAATGGACTGAGATTTGCATTCATTGTGGTCAGTGTCAGAAAACAGGGTATGGGATCAACAACCTTGCTTATTAGTTTTTGGCAAGCCTGATTAGAAAAACAAGGTTCGGGTTTAGCCTTAAGGATGTTGAACCGCCACATCATGAGATTTTAGAAGAAACCTGGTTTCAGTTCTTCGTTATCATTTTGAAATTGCTAATCATGTTCTCTTATATACAATACAATGCAATGCAATGCAATCAGGTGTGGTATTCATTTACCTTCACTACCGGTTCGCAAATGTGAGTGTGCCATCTCCGTACATGCGCAGAGCTTTCCACACATTCACAGAGCGTCAAAAATGGGATATGATGACTTCTGGGCAGGTGGGCGGAGCCTCCCGCAGCCACCGCTACAGATTCGCCCGAACTAAATAGAACCGGCTGAATACCACCACTGAATACAATACAATACAATACAATACAATACAATACGATACAATACACTACACTACACTATACTGTAATATATAATTATATGTATAAAATATAATTCTCTTTTCCTATACCTTTCCCATTAATCATTAGATAAACATGTCTGTTATTGTATTAATACATTACTATGGTTATTTTTGTTGATTTTTTGTTCAAATGTATTTTTGCCGTTGCTTGTTGTGGTGGTTGTTGTTTTTCTGATACACCACTCAGCGCCGGTTTGAAAAGTAACAGCAAAGCAATTTTCATAATCAGATACAAACCTCCAATAACTTGCACAGCTGGATGGAAAATAGCTCAACAAAGCAGCCAAAAATGATATGGCTAATGATCACGGATGCTCATCTCAGGCTAAATACCAGCATACACACCATAGATAAACCATGACCCTATAACACACAGAAATGCAGAGAACCACCATCAAAACTACATTTCTAAAACAAGCTGAAAAAAGGAAAACAAAACTCCAAATCAAACTGCTCAAGCAAAACTCCAGAAGAAAATAGGTTCCTGAACTCAAATGGATGGCCAACATGTCCAGCTGTCCACTCGCCATTGTTAGAACACAGTATGCTCCCGAAAGAGCTCAACTATAGCACAGATGATACTCGTCAGTTAGAATCTTTTGCAGCAGTAAAAACAGAATTTAAAACCATAAGGATTTGCCATAGAGACCCATGGAATCGTAAGGCAGACAACCCAGAAGATCAGAAGAAAACCAAATCAGAAGCAATTCAAAGAGGAACATCCCCCCAAAATTCAAAGCAGAACATCCCCCAAAAACCTAAAGAAGACCAAACCCTCACCATCCTCCCTGAAGGCAAAGGATGAACCATAATTGTCCTGGACAGAACCCAAAACATACAAAAAGCCAAAGAACTATTGGAGGGCATAGAAACCGACATCCTAGTAAACATCAAAGCAATACAGAACTGAGACAACCTGATCAAGAGAATCCTTCACAACCCAATCAAGAAAGTCAAATCACAAAAGGAGAACGATGGTAGATACAAAGCAGTGGACCTGTCCTCTCACGCTTCTATGGCTGGCCAAAAATACACAAACTGACATACCTCTTCATCCAATTGTATTATTACTAGGGACCTCAAAATCGAATAAAGAACTTACCCCCAAAAAATAAAATTTGGGCATCTCAATGCTACTTTTGCATTTCCATCCTTATCTTTCTGTTTGCACAAGATATCCCCTAGTAGCTAAAATGTAAACCCAGCCAACACCTTATAGTCTATGGAACTAGAAAGCTCCTTTTAGCAGCTGACATTAATTTCTATGTCAGATTACATAAGGCCGAGAAAACATCAACACACACACACACATACCCAAACCACAGACACACAGACACATAGCATGCAAGAATAGTGCACAAAGGTCTCATGTTCTGCTACTTCGAAAGCCAACCGCTAATTTAGTTCCAGATAAATTGTTACTGGCCTGACCTTTGAGACTGGAGATCAGCAATTTCCTCTTCCAGGTCCAATAGAGTCTCTGCCTGGCTCATCACCTTCTTGCTGCACGGCAGGGATTTAAGCTGAAGGACCAGAAGTCCAAGGCAGAATTTGGCACCCATCTCCTCCAGTTCCGAAGTTCCCATCTGAAGACCCTAGAAGCAAAAAAACAAAAAAGGGAGAGAAAGTAACGTTAGAACCTAGAGGGAAATCCCATAATCAGAGGTAGCTTGGTTCATTCCTTTTAGCTGCACTGCTCCCGAGAAAGCAAAAAAGGCAAATGATTGTTCCCAAAATTTTCACAAATGGATATGAAAGTGGATGAAAACAAAGAGCCTTTGGCAGGCTGTGGGAAGGAAAACATGCAGGCAGTGATTTTTGGATACAAAGAGAGATGTCTTACAACGTGCAAGCCAGTGATCCTTCAGAGTCCCAAACCTCCGCTACCTTGGTCTTCTCAGTAGACCCTCTCTTTACTTTCTTGCTACAATGAACTAAGAGAAATGTTGCCCCAGGCAGAGTTGAAGAAACATTGAAATGAATTCCCTCAATTGTGATTTCTTTTCTCCAAACACCGCAGAAACTTAATGATCACTAAATCGCTCGTCTTCCGCTTGTGTACATAGATCTGTGTCGGTTCCCTTCCTTTTTACATCTGAGCCCTCCTCTCAACCCAGCCTGTCCCTGAAAACGTTGGCACAATGCCCGGCTTTTCAACCCTTATTAAAATTATTCCTAAGTAAACTAAACTTTAGGTGCGCTTCGATGCAACAAGGCTTCAATCAAAGTGCCTCTTTGAAGGAAACCACTTCATCAAAGTAGCGGCAGATGAGAACCAACTACCCCGCTTTCATCCCGACACTAAAAGGGGCTTCTGCATATATATTGAGAGAATGAGACTTCATTCTGCCAGATGGGAATAGCCATTCACGTTGAGTTATCCCATTGTGAATCAAAGGGTAGAAATAGACTTTTTTTTTTTTTTTTTTTTTTAGCAAGAGGGTTGGCAATGATTCTGATTCGGCCAATGCCGTAGAGTTGAGCAGAGTTGCCTCACACAGATTTACTAAATGAACACTTGATCTTCTTGTTAATTTTATTTATTTGTTTGTATTCCTGCCTTTAACTAGACACAAAAACAGTTTTTTCCCCGAATGCCATCACTCTGCTGAACAAATAATTCCCTCAACACTGTCAAACTATTCACTAAGTCTGCATTACTATTACTATTAGTCTTCTCACCGTTCCTATCACCCATCTCCTCCCACTTATGACTGCATGACTGTAACTTTGTTGCTTGTATCCTTACGATTTATGTTGATATTGTTTCCTAGTATGATTTGATTGCTTATTTGTACCCTATGACTATCATTAAGTGTTGTACCTTATAATTCTTGACGAATGTATCTTGTCTTTTTATGTACACTGAGAGCATATTTATTTATTTATTTATTTATTTATTAAATTTTTATACCGCCCTTCTCCAAATAGGACTCAGGGCGGTGCACAGCCAAGGTAAAAACAGAGCATACAAAATTTAAAAACAGTATTAAAATAATTAAATATTTTGGCCGTAAATTAAAACAACCCAAGGACACCAAGGACCAAGGACAAATTTCTTGTGTGAACAATCACACTTGGCCAATAAAGAATTCTATTCTATTATTATTTTTTACAAATAACTCAAGGTAGCGAATATATGGAACACACCTTCCTCTTCCTATTTTCCCCACAACAACAACAAATACCACACTGTGAGGTGGGTTGGGCTGAGAAAGTAGAACAGAGGAGATCATGTGTTCAAGTCCCATCTTAGCCATGAGATACAGCTGGCTCAAAGTCCCCCAGCTGTATCTCATGGCTAAGATGGGACTTGAACACATGATCTCCTCTGTTCTACTTTAGTGCCTTAACTACTAGACCAAACCGGCTTCAGAAAGTATGCCCAGTATGGACCTCAGCTCATGGTAATTGTATGCATTGTGCTTTCTTAACAGCGTCACTAAAATGATGTGCAATTGCTTTTTTCCAGTCTCATTCTGAGTCTCATTCCACATCCAAGGATTAAACAAACATGTTTATCCACATGGTGCTTAAAAAAGAACCTGCACCTGAACATCAGCAAGACCAAGGAGATGGTGTTGGACTTCTGGAGGAAGAGAAAGGAACCTGCCCCACTTTACATTGAGAGGGGGCTGTGTAGAGAGAGTCTCCTCCTTTAAATTCCTGGGAGTCCATCTCAGCGAAGACCTCACCTGGAAAAACAACACGATCCAGGTGGCCAGGAAGGCCCAACAGAGACTCAATTTCCTTAGGATCTTGCATAAAAACAGGGTGGAACAACAACTGATGACCTCCTTTTACTGGTCCACAATAGAAAGCGTCCTCACTTATTGTATCATGGTATGGCATGCTGGTCTGACAGACGCGAATAGAAAAACATTACAAAGGGTGGTGAATACAGCACAAAACATCATGGGCTGCCCCCTGATACCACTAGACAAGATCACTAGGGCTCGCTGCTTTAGAAGAGTGAGGAAAATCCTTAGGAATGACACTCACCCTGGTCACCACTTCTTTACCCTCCTACCATCGGGAAGGGGATATAGAAGCATAGCCAGCCACACAAACAGGCTGAAGAACAGTTTTTATCCGTGGGCTGTCAGGCTCCTGAATGCGAAATAACTACATAGTACGATGGACTGCAGGGCCGGCGCAATATGTAACTTGTTCACACTGGTGCAATAGGACTGGGTGTTTTGTTAATATGATTTATTGGGTTAGGGATTTTCTGTCTTCATTGTGAGTTGTATTGTGTTGGGGGTGTGTGCACTGAGGGAGCTCCACAATCTCATTGTACCTATGGTGTGCAGTGACAATAAAGGTTATTATTATTACTACTAAACAAACCCATCTCAGTTTAGCTTCCAAATCCAGACAAATCTGGCTAGCTGCTGCTTAAAGATTTCCGTATTTCCTCCACCCCTCCTCAATGTGGATAAGTGTGTTTCCCTGATTATAAGTTTGCTAAAGAGGCATAAACATTGGAGGAGCAGAGTTAAAAGCAGCACCGATTTATAGATTCCAAAAAAAGAAAAAAAAATCTGAGCCAGCTTCTGGGTTTGCTCTTTGCACTGTTCACGATAGCTCCAATTAATATGCTGTCCAACCGCTTGCTGCCTGAATTAGTAAGGAAAGGAGACCGTCAATTTATTTATACCCAGCCGCAGGGCATCGCCACTGTGTGTTTGTAAAGCTATTATGATGCAGAGAGCATTCTGTGAGCATACATGGGCAGAGGAGCTGGTAACAAGGTAGATAATGCCAACTATTATCCCCAGAGAGAGCACCTGGAATATTCTATTGCTCGGTGGACTTAATTTTCTTTCCCTCGTTTTGTCAATAAACATGTGGGCTTTAAAACCTGGTGCTTCTTATTATTATTTGTGTGGGGCTAATGCACCAGCAGCTCCTATCTGTGTAGCCTCTCCATTTACAAACAAACCTTCATTGGCAATAGTTCGGCTAGCCAAGTTGATAACCAAAGGCCTAGTCATGTCTTTCTCTGTACTTCTATGCATCCTCTGGAGGAAAGCTCATCTAATAATGAAAAGGATTAGCTTCTGAAGACAATGAAACCAAATATTAGACCTTGCCAGATAATAATTTGTGCAGCTCTGCTTTCCTGACTCTTGCCTAAGGTAAAGGTAAAGGTTCCCCTTGCACATATGTGCTCCACATTCCCAATTCTAGGGGGCGGTGCTCATCTCCGTTTCAAAGCCGGAGAGCCAGCGCTGTCCAAAGAAGTCTCCGTGGTCATGTGACCGTCATGACTCAACGCCAAAGGTGCACGGAATGCTGTTACCTTCCCACCAAAGATGGTCCCTATTTTTCTACTTGCATTTTTTAGGTGCTTTCGAACTGCTAGGTTGGCAGAAGCTGGGACAAGTAACGGGAATGCACCCCATTACGCGGTATTAGGGATTTGAACCGCTGAACTGCCGACCTTTCCATCCACAAGCTCAGTGTCTTAGCCACTGAGCCACCGCATCTCTTCCTTGCTTAAGGGATGGCTTTTCATTGCCCTGCGTCTCCTTCCATAGTTTTCCTGAATAGCTTCCAAGATATTCTCTTCTTTCACCCATCCTCTCTCACCCATCACTATCTATTTTCTAAGGAATGCATTTACACTATGAAATATATGTCTATGGAGATTCTCAGTCATCCAGGTCATGGTTGTCCCAAAGGTGCTTTTTTTCAAGAGGCAACCGGACTTTGTTTTTTTCTTGAAGATGTTTCGCTTCTCATCCACGAAGAGCTCACAGAATCTGAAGAGCTGAAGAAGCTTCTTGGATGAGAAGTGAAACGTCTTCAAAGAAAAACCAGAAAGTCCAGTTGCCTCTTGAAAGAAAGCATTTTTGAGACTACAAAACACAGCCCTCAAATCAGTGGTAGGTTGTTCCTGGTTCAGTCCGGTTCTATAGAACTGGTAGTAAAACTGGCGGGAGGCTCTGCCCACCCACCACATCATCATGGGTGATCTGTGCATGCGCAGAAGTGCTCTCTCTCTCGCATGCTCGTACGCTAGTAAAGATAAGTGGAACCCACCCCTGCCTCAAATGTTTAATTGGCTTTTGGTTCAAGCTATTTAGGATATTGCTTTGTATCCACTGCTTAGTCTTTTGTCTCTCTGTTCAAAATTTATCCTCAATGTTCCTTGGAGCAAGGACACTGCATGGTGACATGCTGTTTGCACATTGGTGTTGCTAAATTCATAAAAGTGATATTCTTCTCCTTTTAACTTCCCTCTACTCCAGCAAAGGGAGGGAATCCAAAAGAACAAACAGTCTGGTGATTTTGTTGAGTTAAAAACTAAAGTCCTGACTTGATTTGAAGTGAATTCAAGTGTGCTAAAAGTAATCCTCCAGCTATGGGTTTTTTTTTTTTCCTCTCCAGCTCTTATACCTGAGCTGTCAGGTTTACTAAAGCAACAGATGGGACTCTTGAGCAGGTTAAACAAAGTGGAAGTAATTACAGTGGGGTGTTTCCCAAGGCTGTTACTTTGATTCCCCCCCCATCATTATGACGTTCCTGCTCATAAAGTTGGTTTCCTTAAAAAAAAAAAATTCACACATTCATAGAATGCTTAAAGGAA